TCTTTCCCCCTACTTTGCGTGCATTGACGTCTCCGTAACTTCCCGCCCGTTTTCTCCCCATCCGCTAGGTACACGGACATCCCAGAGGAAATTGCCAACAAGGTGAAGGCTGCACGCGAGGCCAAGAATAATTCCGTCAAGACAGAGTAACCTTCCATCCTGCGTACCCCTGGTCGCTCGTCCTCGAACCTTTTGCTGTTTCCATAGGCTTCTGTTGTTTGCTGTCATCCTCTGGTACTTCGAATTTCTTGTCCTTCATCTCGTTTCACGCTTCTTGTGGTCTGTTTCTTACCTCATCCCCATGATTATCGGACCCTTTTTGTTTCATTGTCAATCTTGGCGTCCCTCGAATACACCGTAAAACTTTCGTCTAAGATGATGTAACCACTGCTGTGAAGTATACCATGTGACAAGGGTATGCTGTCTGTTATTCCGACGTTCAAATGCGGGAGGGGGGGGGCGACGTGGAAATATCGGCTGTTTCACTAACAAACGTCGACACCCAACAACTTGAGACTTCAAGTAGCAACAGTTGTTAAAAGCTTCTTGGAGGCTCTTTCGCATGTCATTCTTTTTGAAAGTCCATTCTCTCTTGTCACGGGATTCAGATCCGAGTTGTCGGTTTCTATCTCTGATGCTATATTCCTGGTCGCCCGAACTAGACGCCTCGTCACACCATAACGCGGGTTTCTCCGGGGCGGCGGATAACTGGCATAATGACTGAGACACTCAGCCCATCTCCTCCACCATAACCGCGTGTTCAGCTCCTAGGCCGGACTCATTTACGTCCACTAGAGCATGCATTACAAACAGTTCCGGGAGCCCAGATTAGTAGTCTCTATGCCTATCTAACCCGTGCAAACTTTCCTCCACCCGGCGCGTTTAGACATCGTGCACACTTTTTAGGTCGTACGCGCGTACGGCAGGATAATAGGTGCAGTAGGTGGGCTAATTCATGACATGGCAACTGAAATTCCGAAATCGTTTTCGTTTCGAAAAGATTACGGGTGTAGTACAATTCTATAATAATTCAGTCACCTCATGATGCCGGCTTTCGAATGAACTTCCTTCCGGCTGCATACGAAAACTATACTCTGCAAAATATGACTACTTAAGTAGCATACATTTTTCTCTTTAATTTCCGATGCCCCCTAAAAGTCCAATTACATTTCATGGACAACATGCATAAAAATATTCATTCTTTCGCTCATTTGGTGGACAATTACCTCTTCTTCTAATCTTATACTCGAAGGAAGGGTATAATTCGGTTTTGAAAATGTTTCTAATTGTGAGACTTTAATACCGTGAAATGACCGTTCATAGAACGTCATGTCTCTGCATTTACCAATTTGGCTTGTAAAGTTTACAGTATGGGTCAAATCCAATGCTAAATTTTATGAACACCCTATGGCGTCCTCTTAATACCGTAGAGAAATGTGTGGTTATCCGTACGCGGAAAATACATGGTTTGTAGTTTGGAAACCCTGAATGCAAGTATGACGACAGAGCGGGTTCAAAAGTATTCGGAAATTAGAAAAGTTTTTGAAAACCGAATTATACCCTTCCTTCGAGTATAAAATTGGAAGAAGAGGTGATTGTCTACCAAATGAGTGAAAGAATGAATTTTTTATGCATGTTTTCCATGAAATGTAATTGGACTTTTAGGGGCGACGGAAATTAAAAAATTCATGCTATTTAAGTAGTCATTTTTTACGGAGTGTAGTTTTTGCATGCAGCCGGAAGGAAGTTCGTTCGAAAGCCGACATCCTGAGGTGACCGAATTATTATAGAATTATACTGCAGACTGATTAGTTTTACAATACTACTTCATTAATCTGTTCGAAACTAAAACGCATTTCGGAATTTCAGTTGACATTTCATGAGTTAGCCCACCTACTGTAGAACATCGGCCAGAAGACATGTACGCCAACAACAGGGTCAGGTAGACTGTCAAATCTGAGAATGGCCATTTTACTGATCAAAGTGACCTGCAGTCTTGCGTAAGTAATTGACGAGGCTTTCGTCTGCTTAATCTGTGGTGGTGATAGTAGTAGTGGCGGTGCAGTCCCTCGAGTGTTAACGCCACGGCAAAAGTGTGTAGACGACCGTGTTAAATTTTCAGCAGCAGGAGAAACGGGGTCTGACGATGCCAGACTGCATTCCTCGTGTTACCTCTAGCGTGCCACGTTTCGGAGACAGAATCGTCCGCAGACAACCTCTCACGACGCCGTGGAAAATCTTCTGTATAGGGGGCAATTAATGCGTGACCAACTGTAGGGAGGCCGGCAGGTGGTTACAGATGCACGCTGAAGCAATTGGTGGGGTTGATGGCTCTCGATATAGGTCGCTGATCTGAGGTTATTCCGCAGCCGGAGACCACTGGTACCTCTTCCACATTTGGCACCCCATTTGCACCCGCGAAGGCCAATTCTGGGTGGGAATCGCACGAGCGCACTTATCAGGTGCGGACGAAGTTACCAAGGGCAGTGCTGGAGACGAGAGAGGTCTCAACAGGGAGCACAGCGGGCGTGACGAGAGCCCCGATGTCTGGCAGGCAGGAACAAGGCGGTACCGGCGCAGCCCGTCGTGTTCCCTAGGCAGGGTGCGTCTGTGGACTGTCTATGCCATTAAGATGGGTTCTATGGATTATAAGGCGACAGAGCGTTGAAACCTACTACTACTACTACTACTACTACTACTACTACTACTACTACTACTACTACTACTACTACTACTACTACTACTACTACTACTACTACTACTACTACTACTACTACTACTACTACTACTACTACTACTACTACTACTACTACTACCACTACTAATACTACTAACTACTACTACCACTACCACTACTAATACTACTAACTACTACTATTACTGCTACTACTACCACTATGCGCACTTGCATATGCCTCGGCTTGCCGAAGCTCCACAAAGATGGTACACGGGTTCGTCCAATCCTCGACACAAGGAACTCGCAGTACCGTGCGACAGCAAGATGGCTAGTGGAGAAACTTAGGCCTCCGCAGTATCAACTACCGCCTCCAGCCCTCTGGGTATCTTTGAATTCGTTAACGGCGCGAAAGACCTCGATCCAAACGAAATTGTTGTATTTAGATTTTCGCGAACGTGCGGGCCACTGTAACGGTCAACTACCTCTGAGAGTTCATTACCATCAATCAGCAGGATACAGGAGTGCCGGTGAATGCCCTCAAGGAATTGTTATTGAAGCGTGCCTTGAACGTGCAGTTTCTATTTGATAACAGTCTGCGTAGACAAATGGACGGAGTAGTTATGGGCTCGCCCCTTGGCTCGTTTTTGAAGAATATGTTCATGAGCAAGCAAGAATCTTTCGAGATCAAGGGTCTGAGATACCGTGGGGCTTTGTGGATGATATATTCACAATTGCACCGAAACAAAATGACGTCTCAGTCCTACTGGAGGATATAAATCAGGCGCACCCATCAATCAAATTCGCACTGGAAGGAGAACAGCCCGGTTCACATCCATTTCTGGACGTGCTCCTGAGTAGAAGACCTGACAGCAGTATTCAGCGTAGCATTTATCTTAAGAAGACTTCGGGCGTTTCGTACCGCTGTTTGACAGAAAGGGCGAGTACAGTCTGCCTGGCTGATAGCACTGAGCCAGACCTTAAGGTTATCGAAAGTGGTTTTCGTCAGAATGGGTAACCTGATAGATTCGTCGGTAAGAACTTGGTAGAAAGACCATCAAAGCCCCGATTCTGACGGCAGAAAAAAGGCTTTTCATTAGGATTCCATTTTAAGAAGACGACTAACTCAAGCAGTACCACGCACCCATCCAGCAGCTGACGCCCGTATACTCTTCTCCACTAGTCCCATCCTATACGGAAAAGCCAAGGACAGACTTCCAACTCTGACCAGCTGTATGTGTAATTAATCCTTTACCTGCTCCTGTGAGACAGAACATACTGGTAGCCCGAGCCAGCGTTTGTCCAAAAGAATAAAAGAACATTCTTCAGCATGGTTTGGGAAGGGTCAAATAAAGAACATCAATAACTCCATACTCGCACACAAGGTAGACACAGACCACCGCGTAGAAACCCGAGAGGCCTTCCGAGTGGTTTACAAAGTCCCGTCATGAGATCAAAAATTACTTGGACAGCGCCTGTTGGCTACGACAGAGGTGGATGCAATCAGGCTATACGAACTTGTCCTATGCGCACAGAAGGACTGCATTCAGGTCCCACAGCTGCCATGACCCAAGGCCATCAGGCCAGCCACCTGCACATAATTAGCTCTTCCGACGCCCACCTTCGCCCTGGCGCCGACGGGGATTTTGGTGTTTCACTCTCCCCCCTCCACTCCTCAAACTCGAGCTACAGCATAATTACCTATATGCCCGTATATTTTGATTCATTGCTCCGATAGCCCCACAAATGTACGGACTTGGCGAGAATTTATCGAAAGCAGACGTATGCTCACCAACTTGCCTTTCGAAACTACTTTGTTGGTGGCCATATTTTGGGTTGAGGTTTCTCTGCTCTTCCCAGTCTCTTTGGGGCATTTTCTTCATTGGCTGCTAGTTTGTGTGAAACAGTCTGAATGGACTCTAGACACTGAGATCTACGCCAAAACGTAACTGCCAACTTCAGTTCCGCAATCTAGATGGATCAGTAGAGATCACCCTTCACATGACTCAAGGATAAAACTGTAGGAGTGTGGGGAGAGCGGCAACTCGTGGGACAGTCTCTTTCCCCAAACTGGCTGGAACTGATCTTGATCTCGAGCAGTCTATTGCAAAGAACGGACGTACCTTTTCAGATATACAGCCTTACAGTTTATCGCCACTCATCTGTTCTCAGGTGTACACCTGGCCACGGATACAGTTCGAATGCACTTGCTGATCTCTTCTAATTGAAATTTCTCGTACACATATCCCAAAGTCGTGAACTAGACAGTCGACGTCGTACAGCTGGCGTTCAGTCAACAGTCGTATTTTGAGAGTTAAAAAACCCCTTACAATTGGTGTTCGGCAGATTTTGTCTTGTCGTAGATTTCGTTAATGCCACAAGAATTTCGACGAGGTGCATCATCATCATCATCATCATCATCATCATCATCATCATCATCATCATCATCATCATCATCATCATCATCATCATCATCATCATCATCATCATCATCATCATCATCATCATCATCACCATCACCATCACCATCACCACCATCATCATCATCATCATCAGCATCATCATCATCATCATCATCATCATCATCATCATCATCATCATCATCATCATCATCATCATCATCATCATCATCATCATCATCATCATCATTATCATCATCATCATCATCATCATCATCATCATCATCATCATCATCATCATCATCTTCTTCTTCTTCTTCTTCTTCTTCTGTTTCCTTCTTATAAATAACTACATGGGTAAAATCAGAAAAGTCGAAAAACCAGTGTGAAAAACAGCCCTGCAAACAATCGAAGTTCATTTGCTTTTCAGCCCCGAGGAGTCAACTCGAAAAGGGAGAGTAAAATGAATTAAAAATGACCTGAAAGCCTCTAGACACCAATAAGTAAGGAATTACAAAACAAGGGGTTAATTGGGAGTTTAATCGACTTTACCTAAATGCCGTGGAGGTCAGCCTCATAAGTGAGGTCGAAAGTTACCCCTAAATGCTGTACTGCAGAACAGTTTCAAAAAACGTCTGCTAACAGACAGTACCGCCTGTAGAATTCCGAGATAAATAAAGGCCTTTTGGACAGATTATCCACCAATAGCGAGCATACAACGGAACCAATTTTTTGGATTCTCACTTGAACCTATCATCAGAGACAGAGGCAGAAAAGGGGTGACTCGTACACAGGAAGTTGCTGTATTTACAGGATGCAGTCGCTATGCCACCGCATACCTATCGTAATTAACCGCTCTCCCCTTCATCAAGAATTGTTGCCTGCTGGTGCGCTAATTGCTTGATGGCCGGCATGAAAGTTGTCAACTGCTGAAACCTAATCGTCCGTGCTGGATGCTGGCGTGATGATTGGCCGGCCACCTGGCTCACCGGCCCGCGCTCTCCCCGAGGGTTTAATTACTTGGGCAAGACTATGTCCCAGCACGGAATATGGAGTGGGGGTGTCGTTGCACTTGTTGATAGACTGAGGTCCCGTGAACCATGACTCAAGCAACTCGTGGCTCACGCATTTATCCCCTCCTGCGAGAATTTCGGCCTCATCGAACTTGAATGTGTGGCCGGGTCTCGTCGAATGGGCCGCGACCTGAGAGTTGGCGTCATTTCTCTGCACCGCGGTTGCGTGTTCGGCAATCCGCGTCCAGAGCACTCTTCCAGTTTCTCCGATGTAGTTGCTTTGCCCGCAATTGCATCAGATCCATTAAACGACTCCAGGTGTTTCTTGCAGTGGCAGTGCATCCTTTTGGCCTCATCAACTGACGCCTTATAGTGGCCTCCGGTCTGTGTGCAATTTCAACCCAGAGTAGTGAGAGAAGGCGACTAACGTCACTTAACTGACATTAGAAGTTCGTAAGACTTGAAAACTCTTCCGTCACGGTAGGCGAGCTCTAAACGGTCAAATTCCTCAAACGACGTTTCGATAATCATCTACTCGAGTGTCATGGAGCACCAAGTGAGTATACGTAGTCCGAAGTAGCGGAATTTACGTCTCATAAAAGCGCCACTGAACTTTAGTTAGTAGCATGCATTGTCGAAATATTTATATCAAAGAAGCGACATGATCTCTCTCTTAACGCGCGATTTTGCTCTTCTGTACAGCTATTGTAATTTCTTAATAGACTTTTCACGAAACAAGCCCTGGCTCTCAAAGTTTACGAACGTATACTGGCTTATAACCCTCTGCTGGCATACTTTACGAAAATTATTCAAGTATTTGAGGAATGGTATCAAATTGTAGTTTATTCATCTATAAAATTTTCAAAACGGCCTAAGAACAAAAAACAGTTACTTCCTTATCCCACAAGTGCTCGAAAACATCACACGCAACACAACGACACGTAAAATGGGCTACTCAAAAAAACCTTGCAAAATCGCACCCTCACATAAATAAGGACCACTGTCATTTTTTTGAATGACGAGTCTGACTAGGCCTACTGACAGTTTCTGCGCGTCCCGACGCCTTGTCGCTTTTACCCTCCGCAGTAGTCTCCGGAGCCAAGTCGGTTTCAGTCGTCTCTTGCATGCTACTCCCGTCATCCTGGTGAGCCCACGTCCGCTCAATCCCAATCTCATCAGTTTGGGCACCAATGTCTCGCAGCAGAACGAGCTCCTGCTGCACATTCTGCCGTCCATGACTGCAGACCCAGGACTCCTCCGTCTGGATAGGCACGTCCCGAAAGATCGCCATTTCCGTGAGGTACTGCTGTTTTCCGCGTTTCCTGCGAGGAGGCGGTCTGCGTCGGCGTTTGCCTCTGGCTATCTTGGAGAGCATGAAGCCCGTGGCCTCGAGGTAGAAGTAGACCACCGTGGTAAGAAGTCCCATCAGACAGACAAACATCCAGAAAGTGTCCCCGTAGCGAGGTAAACTTGAGCGTCGTATTTGATCCTCCGTTGGAAGTGCCAATTCCGCCTTCCACTGAGATGTCAAATCGGGCTGTTCAGGTCCCCAACTGGGCAGAAAACGGCGGCCGCAGATCTCAACGTCGTCAACGATCTCCTGTGTTATTTGGGTTGCCGAAGAGAAAAATTTAAAAAAAATGAAACCTAAGATAAAGAAAAAAAGGGAGTGGTATTGGAAATATGGGCCTATCTGTTTTCACCTGCTTCGGACCGTTGTTAGACCTTTGCTGATTTCGAAATCCTTTGGACGAGAACTTCAAATCTAAGTCGTTTTCAAAAGGCAATTTGGCGAGAACACGTCTCCTTTCGATAAATCCTCTTCAGGCCTCTGTATCTGAATTCTACTGGGTGGCATAAATCAGGCGCAGCTATCAATAAGATTCACTCTGGAAGAAGAACAGACCGGTTCACTTCCCTTTCTGGATGTGTTTCTGTGTAGAAAGCCCGACGGCAGCATTCGATGTGGCTTCTATCGTAAGAAAACGTGCTCTGAACAATACACCATTTTGGGAGTTTCGGGTAACTATTGGGAGATGGCACCTAAAAAAATCCTCTCAAACAAAGCTGCCTGTCTTACGGGATAGGTGGTAATAGGGGTTTTACGGGAAGGGCCCTCGGGATGCGTGGATAAATGTGAATAATAGGAAGATATTTTTATGAAATTCCTAGTTAAATGATAAAGTTTTACTTCATCACTATATGGCAACGGAAGTAGGCGCGGTAAATGAAAAGTGAACAAATAGCAGTACTATACACATATACCATTTTAAGCAACCAGCGGACCAATTTAGTACCTGTGTTCAGACATCCAAGGAATCGTAACGAATGGTAAACCAGTAGAATTGGTCTGTTGGATGTCGGTGGTGCAAGATTAGATTTAGCCGCAACCACACTACTGCAGTCAGTCGCCATCCATGTAAGCCTTTCTGAAGCTTAAGTAACTGTGGCTCCGTTTTCAGCGTTGGCATCTTAACTGCCGGATAGTATGGTAGACTGCAGGTCAGGTGACACAACAAATATGTACGGCTATAACCTACTCAAGTAGATAGAGTAGGTATTATTTCTAGGTAACGGAAAAGTTTTTTGGGTGCCATCTCCCAATAGTTACCGTCCACGCCTCTACCCACCGGGCCACGAGCCCGTTGCCCTGTCGGTTTTCGATCGGGAATATACTATGGTAGGGGGCGCTCACCGATCGTTCATACGGAACTCACTCGTTCCGTTGTGCCTCAAGGGCTCGCTCTCGAGTCCAACCAACAGCCGCACAGCGGCGCATGATATATAGGCAGAATGGTATTACCGACAAAGACAAGGGAGACTGAAATGGCCATTTCTGGCTTATTAATCGTCGTCAGCCAGCCATACCCAAGCCCGAAGTGTGGAACACCCGAGCCTCGAACTCACGACCTGTTGGTTTATAAGTCCACGCCTCTAGCCACCGGGCCACGAGCCCGTTGCCTTGTCGGTTTTCGATCGGGAATATACAATGGAACATGCAATCTCGGTAATACCATTCTGCCAATATATCATGCGCCGCTGTGTGGCTGCTGGTTGGACTCGAGAGAGAGCCCTTAAGGCACAACGGGACGAGTGAGTTCCGTATGAACCATCGGTGAGCGCCCCCGTACCATTATATATATACACGTGCGTACAGTAGATGCTGCAAAAGTCTACATTCACTGTAAACTAAAGCACGCAAACCATCGTGCCTCTTTCACCTTACTGTGGAGTACACTTTGGACATCGTCGGATGCGACCGTCGAACTGTCAGTTATGGGCAGGGTTCTCCATTCCTCTGTCATTCTCTTTGCATTAACTATATATTTTGAACTGGTATCTCACGGTCTTATACGCTTTCATAATTAGCAACTTTTTTGAACCGAATCACACCCTTTCTTCGAGTATAAAATTTTAAAAAGGTGTAATTTTCTATCCAGTGTTTAAAAGAATGAATATTTTTATGCATGTTTTCTATGAAATATACTTAAGTATATAAAGCCGTTGAAAATCAACGCGAAAAATGCACACTACTTAAATAACCACTTCTACAGACTGAACTTTTTGCAAGTGGTCAGAATGAATTTCATTTAAAAGCCGGTATCCAGAGGTAACTGAATTTTCACGGGATTATGCTGCACGACGATAAATATTAAAATCCTACTTAAGTAACCTTTTCTAGTCGAAGACGCCTTTCACAGTTTCGGTTAACATTTCACGTGTCAGCACATCTACTGTATGTATAACGGTGTCTGCTTCCATGGTAGAGGCCAGCTGTTTTTTCTGTTCTGAACAGTTTAGCGCATGTAATGGGGAATGCAACGGCGAAAATAGGAAGTCATACGTGCATGATGATTCCGCAATGCCGGCAGGTAGTTTGTCCAGGATTCAGTTGGTACTTATTATCCTCGCAAGGTGCACAGAATCGCCCTAGGGGGTGACCGGCTTTGACATTTGTAGTCGACCCATAAACAAGACCTCGGGTGAGTGGAGGACAGGGCAGGCAAGACGGCGGTTGATTTAGTGCCAGGTATTTCCCCGGCGGGCATTGAAACCATATATTCTGGACGAAAACCTTAGGATTCGAAAATAATAGCGTTGAGATATAGTAACAGAAACGTATAACTGTGTAATAATATCTACTCGCAATTTTAAGTAGACATTTTAACGTCATTAATAGAAGAAAGGGAGTGAAGCAAAAGAGTACCGTGACTCCATTCAGGGCAGCGTGATAACGGAGCCTCTCAATGATTCGTGAACTCTGGACGTTGGTATAGTTCGGCCACATGTGGTTGGATATTTCCAGTATCCGTTTACCATGGAACCTTTTACTTGACTGTCGCTCATTCATGTATGGCAGACTCTTTCTGTTGATGCCTACGTTCAAGGGACTCCGCTGGGCATGCGCCCACCGACGTCGAATGGCCTCAGTCGTTGCTAGTTGTGCTCCTCGATTGTCCACGTTTATGCACATGTAACATGCCATGCATGCGGTTCGCCGGTTGGTCTGTCAGTGTTCAGGAGGTACAGAATATTTGAATGTTTATGTCCGAATTCAAGATTGGGTTTTTAGGCATATCACAAAAGGGCTTTTAATGACATCGTCTAATAACACTTAATGATATCTACATATAATTATTACGTACAATGCGCGACCGATATTATGAAATGTTGGCCGAAATTCTGAAATGCGTTTTCGATTAGGAAGGATTACTTAGGTGGGATTGTAATACTGCTCATCTTGAGACATCATCCTATAGTATTTCAGGCTCGTCAGGATGTCTGCTTTTTATGGAGCTTCTTTTCGCTCCCCCTGCAGAACCACACTCGGTAAAAACTGACTACTTAAGTACCATGCAACTTTCCTATCGATTTTCGATGGCCTTATAAATTCGAATATATTTTATAGAAAAAATGCACAAAAATATGCGTTATTTTACTCCTTTGGTAGAAAATCACATTGCCTTGATATTTTATATCAGAAAAAGTGTATATTTAGGTTTTAAGATTTTTCTTCCAATGCCCGAATAATTTTGAGCCTGATCTGCCATCGCATTAGCGTTTGGCGATTCCAGTCTACAAGGTGCACGTTTTCTGCGTAAGGAAAATCATATATTCCTCTATGTTGAATGGCATTATCTACCATTCCTCTATGTATTTAAAAAAGTACAACATAGAGTTCCTAAAATTTCCCAATGGATCCAGACTGAGTTGTGTATTTCATTAAGAGCATTGGTAAACGTATATGTGCGATCCTGTATGCATGGGCATCGCACGGTCTTAAGAATCTCATAATTCGAAACTTTTTAAAACCCAAATATACACTTTCTTCGGGTATCAACTATATAGACAATGTGATTTTATACCAAAGAAGTAAAAAAAGCATATTTTTGAGCCTGTTTTCTATAAAATATATGTGAATTTACAAGACCATCGAAAATAAATAGGAGAAATGCATGCTACTTAAGTATTTATTGTATTTATTTTTTACAAAGTGAGATTTCTGTAGGAGGTCAAAAAGGACTGCATCCAAAAGTCGACATCGTAATGAGTCCGATATGTTACATGCTTATGCTGCATAATTATCATTACTACAACCCCACCTAAGTTATCCTTCCTAGCCGAAAACGTATGTCAGAATTTCGGCCAACATCTCATGAGATCGGATGCTCACTGTATATCTGCCCTAAGAATAAGTAGCTTTCCCTAAATACTACATATACGTCTTTCCAGTCTCATTTGTTTTAATTCCCTTATGGAGGACATAAACCCAAACTCGTTTTGATGGTTACCTGGTACAGAAATATATCCGCCTTCTTTCCTCCCTGTAAGCGGAGCATTGAAAAAGTGAATTTGGAAACCTATAGTTGGGGTTAAACAATCTAGTTTCCCGTCTCAGGAGATTAATATAACCCACTAGAAGCCAGTTAACGGAGCGCAAATGTAATTTTTCTGGACGTTTGTACATGAATCAATGCTAGACAGCCGCATAATTTGATGGATATTATTTCTTGACCAACCAGCTCTCCAATAGCAGAGTCAAAAATCTGCCGATTTTATCTTTGTCCTCTTGCTATGGGTCAGAATCGAGTTAGCGTATGAGGCATTCTAGTCTAATAAGAATGACGAGAAGAGTGAAAGTGGGAAAGCGAAGTCATTCAAATGGCCAGATATACACTGTGGAGAGGTATCTACCGCCTCAATTTGCTGTGTAAAATACATGAACATCCATGTACTTTAAGCCTTAGTCTGCACAGCAACTTAAACAAAGAAACTGCTGTTTTCTTCTGGCGCATTTGTAACCCCGTCACGCAATCGAGGTTGATTTAAACTGGCCCAGTATTTCGACGTTTAAAAATTCGTCACTAATGCTTACAGTTTGTGTGGCAACCATTCAAAAACCCAAAAGATTTTTCGCTGCTAGAGCGCTCCCTCTTTGAATATCAACCCTAACACAGACGAGGGGAAGCAATGACGTGATCTAGATTTCGAGTGCTATGGTGAGTGAGTGATCTCGTAAAATGTTGACCAAAATCCTGAAATGCGTTTTCGATCAGGAAGGATTACTTAGGTGGGGTTGCAATATTTATCATCATGCGGTATAATCCTCTAATATTTCGGTCATTCCGGGATATCGGCTTTTGAATGAACTTCTTTTCGACATTCTGTAGAAACCGCAGTCGGCAAAATGGCTGCATAAATAGCACGCGTTTTTTACATCGCTTTTCGATGGTCTAACAAATTAAATATATTTTCATTATAATGTGCACAAAAATATGGTTGAGATTAGGCCCTGAAGTCCCGCCTGTGTAATATCGTATTGTAAGCTTCCTTAAAAAGTTCAGACGATGCGAGTACGCTGACTTTTCAAATATAACGTTCCGTAGATGTGCTAACTCATGAAATGTCAACCAAAATTTCGAAATGCGTTCTCGTTTCGAAAAGATAAATTATGTAGTGTTGTAAAACTAATCATGATGCAGCATAAATCTATAATGATCCAGCTACCTCAGGGTGTCGTCTTTCAAAAGAACTTATTTTTGGTTGCATGCAAGATCTATTCTCCGCAAAAAATGACTACTTAATTAACATGCAATTTTCTCATTGATTTTCGATGCCCTTGAAAATTTAATTATATTTCATGGAAAACATGCAAAAAATATTCATTCTTTTACTTATTCGATAGAAAATCACGTCTTCTTCCAATTTCATACTCAAAAGAAGATAATAATTCGGTTTTAAATAACTTTTCTAATCCCCGAATGACTGTGAACCCAACCTGCCGTTACACTTGCGTTCAGGGTTTCAAAACTACAAGCCGTATATTTTCCGCGTACGGAAAACCACACATTTCTCTACGGTATTAAGAGGAGACCATATGAGGTTCATAGAATTAAGCAGTGGACTTGAGCAATATTGTTAACTTTACAAGCCACATTCGTGAATGCAGATACATGACGTTTCATGAACGGCCATTCAACGGTATTAAAAAATCTCACAATTAGAAACTTTTTTAAAACCGAATTATACTCTTCTTTCGAGTGTAAAATTGGAAGAGGACGTGATTTTCTATCGAATAAGTAAAAGAATGAATATATTTTGCATGTTTTCCATGAAATATAATTACATTTTCAAGGGCATCGAAAATCAATGAGAAAATTGCATGCTACTTAAGTAGTCATTTTTTGCAGAGTATGGATCTTGTATGCAGCCAAAAATAAGTTCTTTCGAAAGCCGACACCCTGAGGTAACTGGATCATTATAGTTTTATGCTGCATCATTATTAGCTTTACAACACTACCTAATTTATCTTTTCGAAACGAGAACGCATTTCGAAATTTCGGTTGACATTTCATGAGTTGGCACATCTACTGTATTTGTATCTTTCTTGCCCTTTTAATCCGGCGGGTGACTGTGCCACGGGGGAGGAGTGCTTATAAGCCAGCTTCGGTCACCTCAGTTATCAGCTCATACGCGCCTCCCTCCGCGTGTTTCGAGTCCTGCTTGCACCCTCTTTATTATCTTAACCCGACTAGTGGTCAAAAGATTTGTTAATGGAATGGTTTGGACGGTGTGGAAATCCGTCGGTTCCACTACAGTGACCCTGAACTGCGAATTACCCCGCGGCCTTCCAGTTGTAATTGCGCTCCTCCGTATCCTCTTAATCCACCGAGTGGCCGTGTTGGGGGGGGGGGGGCGAGTATGCATACGCAACCTTTCATTTGGTTCCCTAAGCGCGTTTTGAGCTCAGATCGCGCTCTCTTCCCGTTCCTAATCCAGCGACTGACGAAGTTAGTTATGTTAACTAATATTGTTTTAGTAATGGTAGGGGGCGCTCACCAATCGTTCATACGGAACGAGTGAGTTCCGTATGAACGATTGGTGAGCGCCCCCTACCACTGTATATTCCCGATCGAAAACCGACAGGGCAACGGGCTCGTGGCCCGGTGGCTAGAGGCGTGGACTTCTAAACCAACAGGTCGCGAGTTCGAGGCTCGGGTGTTCCACACTTCGGGCTTGGGTATGGCTGGCTGACGACGGCTAATAAGCCAGAAATGGTCATTCCAGTCTCCATTGTTTTAGTAAGCTGACCATATGATATCGATAAAGTGGGGCTGTAGAACCAAACTTCGCCAGAATGTTTTCTTTCCTTAATTCGGTGGAAAATCACGTTGTCTTCACACTTTGTACCCGACAATGTGGATGTTAAGGTTTTGAGGACGTTTCCAAATTCAAGAATAACTTTGAGCTGGATAGGCCGTTGCATTAACGTTTAGCGATTTCATTCTACAACGTGCATGCTTTCCGCGCAAGGGAAATCGTACCTTCCTCCATATCTTTAGAGAGATATCAGAGAGAGTTCATAAAAATTGTATATTTCATGAGGAGCATCGGTAAACGGACGGGTACGATGCTGTATGAATGGAAATTGCACGGCCTTAAAAATATCATGAATAGGAACTTCGTTAAAACCTAGAGATATCATTTCTTCGGGTATAAAATACGAAGACTACATGAGTTTCCACCAAACATGTAAAAAGAAGCATATTTATATGCACGGTCTCAGTTAAATATGTTTAAGTTGTAAGACCATCAAAAATCTATGTAAAAACACATGCAAATTATGTAGTACTTTTTTGCCGAATGCAGTTTCTAGCGAACGCTACAAAGAAGTGCATTCAAAAGCCGACATCCTAGAGAGTCCGTAACATTAAAGGATTATGCCGCATGGTAATCAACATTACAACCTCACTTAAGTACTCATTCGTAATCGAAAACACATGTCATGATTCCAGTCACTTCTTCATGAGAACGGTCACTCACTGTATATGATGACAGATGACGGCTTCTCAAATATTTTTGCCTTCTACTCTTGTCCAGCAGACTTGGCTTTCTCATCTTTATTCCCGTTATTATTTTTTGGCCTGAGTCATTCGTGCGAAATGATCCAGAGTATAAAGAACTTGACATTTGGCATCGCTGTTTTTTGGTAAATTCAAAAAATATCAGTGTGGTGGTACAGCCCACGAGTTTCCTTGAGGAGGCACTAAATAAATCGACAATGACACCGTCTCGCCTCACCTATATTTTCTGTAGTGAAAAGAAGCTCGTCTTCACTGGCAGCACAATGGACCTTCGCAGTTGCATACTGTAAAAACGTTTTTTGTAAACAATATGTTACTGGTAAATGTTAAGTAAGGTGTGCACTTAACATTTATATTGCATGTACCGTTTTCAATAGGATCATCAAAGCCATTGTTTATTACCCGAAAACACACAAATATAATAATCTGGGTCCCTAGACTTTTCAATAAACCACTGTTAAACTTGCGCAAACGATCGTCTGGCTTTGTGTCGTTTGCGAAATTCCATCACGGCGAACAGAGTTCATCCTGTTGGCCGTCGTGACTAAGAATAGACTCTGTCAATGCGGCACGCCACGCGTTGCGCACGGACGACAATCTTCTAGTCAAGGACGCACGTGATCACTGCGCCATGAGAATTGGGACTCCAGGGTTAGCCAAAGACAAACGGCATTTCCCGTGCTGTCAGACTACAAGCACTGCTCATCTCTGAAGATAGGCTCCCGTAAGAGTTTGAAGTCTCAAACTTATGCTACTAACGCCAAAAGGATCACATTTTCTTCATGGTTGCCATCTGGTAACCGCTTTGAGCATTTGACTAAAGGGTGACAGAAATGCGGATTTTGATAAGACTTTGTTAACATGCTAGCGAGTGGTAGGAGGCCATAGAAAGCCTCCATGGCGGGGCGTCTTAGCGTCAGCAAACGGTTAGTGTCCAGTCTTCTGCCACAGGGCTTTCAACAGATCAACTGTTCACTACAACCCAGTGTGAACTGATAGCAATGAAATGCGAGTCGTTGTTCGACTATCGTACCCCACCAAAGTTGACATATTACTAGTCGTATGTAGGCTTGAACATCCTGATACGTATCTGTACAACCCATGCGCGTGTTAGGATTGATTAATTCAGTTCGATACGGACTCGGAAAGACGATGATTTCAGATCTATACTTTTATTCGATAGATCGAAGGGTTGAGCCTGATGCAAATTCCGTACGAGTTTGATAGCTGTTAGGGCGGCATTGTCCACGGTGAAACATGTACAGCAGGCCGAAACTAAGGCCTGACTGGTAACGAGTAAGAACGTAATCAAACAACACCTACTTAAATAAATGCAGTAGCGAGTCTTGTATACTAGTAGGCATACCCGGATACAAGTTTTACACGGTGGAGTCATCTTTAACTCAGCTTTCCCCTACTCTGATTGGTTTTGTCAGTCACGAATGGGCCCCTCAACCTCGTGACACAATAACCATGCGAATCTATGCAAAAACATCTTATCCTTTGTCACCATCCAAGAAGGAAATAAATCAATCTGGCTCCACCGCCCTTGTGACCACAGGTGGAGCTTTATAGGAAAGTGTGCTGAAAGTGGCAAAAAGGTCGCTCGCCAACCGGTAATTACATACAGAAAGCAGTCCCCGACACCTTCGCTCTGTCGATGAATGCCATTAAGGAAGGAACGATTCTTTTTGCATTCGTTTACGGAGCAGCATTCGCAAGAGGAGGACGGTGCAAAGTACGGGTTCGTTCAAGAAAAATCAAAGGTTTAATCACGTGTTCAACAGTCCTACCCTGTACATCAGTTCGATGCTTCCCGATACCGGAGGTGTTATGAAAGTAGTATCGGTGGCTCTGCCGTCGGTGCCGAGTCGAAAGGCCACACTGATATTCCGCATGGCTTGAGACATGAGGATATCCATCCGACTCTGTTGGATTTCACCGACGGACCCTGGAAGCGGCAGAGTCAGTTCTGATTTCGGGCCATTGTCAAGGGTAATCAGTCGTCTAGGGAATAAAAGAGCATTTAAGGAGGGATCATAAGTTGACGCAACGGGAAGAGTAAGTGGGAACAATTGAGCTAGATGCAATGTCCGACCAAAGTGGAATTTGAAATTTAGTGATACCAGCCGTCGTCAGACGAAATGAGCCGAGTTGAAGGGGAAAACCAACTTGTACAACTCTATTCTTTCCGACAAGCCTTCTTCCTTTATTATGTCGTCTTGGAATGAACGCCATCTCAGCTACTCTATATACATATATAGCGAACGTATCATACGTTACTCCCGACGTAGGCACTATGTAAAAGCCCAGACACATGTTTCGCCGATATTCTGCCGCTGCGTGACACAGCTACGAGGGGTTCGGCTCTTCAGTGGGACCCCCATCGTTCTCTATGCGGTTTCTGGTATGTATATATAGGCCGTTCCTGCTGGCCTTGAGGCCGGTGAAGTGCTTATGACCCATCTGGTAGACCCCAGTAATGGATCAACTGCGTCAGGTGCGTCTGTGCGCATGGTTGTGTTTCTGGTCCCAGCTGTTGGTCAGGATTATGATTTTCCCGGATATCCAGTTCACGATGGAGGAAGAAAAAAATTGCCAGTTGCCGTTTCTCGACGTACTAGTCCAGAGAAAAGGCGATGGGGGACTAAAAACAACAGTTAACCGGAAGGCGACGAATACCTCTCGTATTCTGAGTTTTCTCAACAACCACCCCCTTTCGCACAAACGCAACTGTGTAAGAACACTCTACCGGCGTGTAGACACCCATTGCACGGAGCCAGCCGACAAGAAGGCCGAGGCTCAGTTCCTGAGGAAACTCTTCATCATGAACGGCTACCCTGGGAATTTCGTCGAAAAGTGCAGGCGAGAAACCCGAGGAAGAAACGGAACGACAAAGTCGCCTTGGTAGCCGTCCACGCCTCCTCGCCAGGGCACGCCTTTGACTTCGAGAGCGTGAGAATATTGGGGCAGTCAGACAACCGAGTTGCGCGCCTGCTGCAGGAAGCGTGGCACTCAACTGAGGACACGATCAATTGACATATCGATCTGCCAATCGCTTATCAAGCACTGCATGAACAAATCAGCAGAGCAGCTGGAGGTCATCCCCGGCAGAGATGAGCTTAATATACGATGAGTTGTACAGTATTTTCATCCCTTGACGATGGGCTGGCGTGAGAGTTCGAAACGTCGGATAAATAAACCATTGGTCCCAGCGATCGCCTTCCCGCCCAAAGTTCACAAACCCGAGGTACCACTGCAACCGATATTATCATTAATCGGTGCACCCAATTACAAAATTTCTAAGTGGCTATTCCACCAACTTCATCTACTTACGAGAGATTGTGCAACTTCCATTCAGAACTACATGGAGTTTCTAGAGAAATTGAGAGACATCACAATTTCCGCGGATGAGATAATGGTCTCCTTTGATGTGGTTTCTTTATTCACTTCCATACCACTAGATTTCGCTAGGCAATGCACAGATGAACTCCTGAAGTCCTATGACACGGATGTTCCTGCAGCTGCCTTACTAGAACTTATGTACCTTTGTTTAGAAACCAATTTTTCGTTCGATCACCAATATTATCAACAACTAAAAGGTGCTCCCATGGGATCACCCATATCTGGCTTTCTTGCCGAGGTGACATTGCGGAAATTGGAATCGGTGGCTCTTCCACTAGTTAACTCTAAGTTATGGGTACGATATGTAGACGACACGTTTGTCGTCGTTAAAACGGATCAACTAGAAATACTCCACAACACAATCAACTCAACCATTCCGGGAATTAAATTCACGTTGGGAAAAGAACGTGAAAATAAACTCCCATTTCTAGATGTTCTCGTACAGCGTAAGACTGACGAAACATTACACACGTCCGTTTACCGCAAAGAAACATATGCGGAAATAATTCTACACTATGAGAGCAACAGTCCGATCTCCCACAAGCGGAGTACTGTCAAAAGTCTGATACATCGAGCAAAAACACATTGCTCTGATGAAGAAAGCTACAAAATTGAACTAAACTACCTATTTGAATTATTTTCCCAGAACGGTTACCCTAGAGATTTCGTACGTCGATGCATTAGACAGCAAGAGATAAAAACAAAAAAACTAGATAGCTCCAATCAAGCACCCAAAACAAACACTTGGCGAATCCTTCCTTACATCAGGAATGTGTCTGAACTTGTTGAACGACACTTGAGGAAACACCAGATAAAAGTGGCGCACAAGCCGACGACTACTTTACGCACCCAGCTTGCACACTCTAAGGATAGGGTTCACTATCTCGATAGAAAAGAAGTCGTCTATAAGATCTCATGCGATGCCTGTGATGCCGTATATTGTGGCCAAACGGAAAATTTGCCTCTACTCACATCCACAAACATCAACTTACAGTTAAGAGGCGAGACCACTTGTCTCAAATGGCCATGCGCACCCTTGATACTGGGCACACTTTCGCATAGGACAAAACTCGCACCGTCGGAGTTTGCCCATCTAAAAAAGGCCGAGAGTTTCTTGCACTCCGATGCGTCATGCATCAACAGGCATATCGAGTTGGATGCCACGTACAAAAATCTTAGAGAAAAGTGAAATAGACGAAAGCCGATCAATACGGCCTGACGCATACGACGGCAACTTACTGGCGGAGGCACCAAATGAGTATTGATTTTGTAGCACGTTTGAAATTTTAATTATTTTCTGCACATTTACTGTAGTCTGACGACGACACGGGGTACCGACGTCGAAGATTTACTCAATAAAGTTTTCTCTCTTTCCCAAAGAACGTATTTGATTTCAAATTATATTTCTTGGGATGCCTGCGTTCCAATATATATATATATATATATATATATATACTGCCTCAGTTAATCAATTATAATCGCGGCCACCAACTGAAGCCAAGGAAGAATTTTCTCGCGCCCACGGCGCAGACGGACCACAAGTGTGCTCCATATGCTATTGCAACTTACACCCTTTCCCTGTTCCAGAGTATACGCAGGAGTGGAGTAAAGTACGCGGCGCTCTTTTCCACTTGCTTAGCCACAAGCACCATTTCATAGAAGGGGCCATCGAAACCCGACAGCCGCAGCACTGAGTCCACTGTAACCAGGCTGGAGGCGGGTTCAATGGAAACAGGGAGATCCGAAATATCCCGCAGCAGCCTGATTGTGTACGTTCTGTCGTTTTTGCCGGATTCAAAACAACTGGGTGGTAGATTGTGGCAGTAGCTGACGGTGTGTCTGGTTTTGATGTAGTTCTGATCGCATTCGCTGGAACTCGCACGAGGTACTGGCTGCGGATCCCGGGGCATCATTCTTTCTAACAAGTGTTCTGGACGTGTCGGCGTTTCGTAGTAGACGGCACTGATAGTTTGCTGTTCGCGGCAAAGAAAGCGGTGGATAAAAAAGCAACGGGAATGTAATCACGCTTGCCAGAAATTCTCGCAAGAGGCAAAAACCTTGAACTGATTGAGTCACGGCTCTCAGGTCCACAGTCAGTTAACAAAGGCATTGACCTCGCACCCACATTTTATGCGCTAAGACTTTATCTGAGCGAAATAGTTGGTCACACGAGGAGGGCGCGGGCGGCCGACAGTTCCGGTAACAGCGAACTAAGTGGCCGAGTAATTGTCACGCAAAGGATCAGCAACAGTCATGAAATCACGGCCATTAACGACTTGGCTGCGGATTAACTAGCAGTCAATGCATGAACTGTCAGCCCCAGCGATGAGCGCGGGAGCTGCCAATTATGTTACACATGTGGTTGCATGGCAATCGCGTCCTGCAAATACTGCACGTCTTGTACCTCCATCACCCTCATCTGTGACTGTCCGCTACTGGGTTGTAGTGATAGTCCGAAACGTCAGGCTAATACAGTTCTAGTCCCACTGACCACATTTTCTTTTTTTAATCATAATTCCTGGAAGGAAGCGCGAATCATTTATTATGTGTAGTTCTGCCGTGGAAGTTGGTGTTGTTTCAACTGTGACATACGAAGAGAAAGTCTGTGTTTTAGCCTTTAATATGCCAAAAGAATAAAGGAGATCCTACCAACCATCTGGCCATTTGCGTTTTCAAACAACTGGAAACGCATTTTTTAAAATAATGATTATTAATATATTTTAACGTATCGGAGAAGGAATTTCCTGGTTATTGAAATATCAAATCATGATGTCTTCCGAGGTACGTGTTGCGGGCTAAAATAACAGCCATACACATATGTGCATAAGTATGCGGACGATTTAAAGGCTCTCAAATATAAAAAAACTACTCAGGTATCCAAATAACTTCTACAACATATATTTTCAGGAAGACGTCATTCCGTACAGAAGGATACAGATGTCGGTACTCCATTCTGCAAAATTATTAGTCGTTATGAGACTGAAAGTGAGGGCTCTTCATTGAACCCATTGTCGCAAAGGGGGAGTCAAAGTACCATAGACTTCTTGGTGAGTTCACATTCGACCAAATACTTATGGGCAAAAAAGGATTGTTGAAAAATACCAGGGAAACTGGAATAGCCATTTTTGGCTTATTAGTGTCATCGGACAGTCCTGCCAAACCCCATGCGTGCCAATCGTGGAATTCGAACCTGCGTTCTCTAGGCCAGATCCAGACAGCTGTTTCACGGTCGTTACCGATCATCAGTACACCATAGCCCTCATGAAGTGAGGTATATAAGCATGTCAAGTGGGGATGTGACCCTCAGTGTTGTGGTTATCATCTCACTCGATCCCATTTGTCCGCCCGCTAGCTTGCTACAGACCTGTTGCGCTCTTAACGAACTCATATATTATATGTGGCATAGGCAGAATGCTCTTACCGACACAGACAAAGGAGACTGGAATGGCCGTTTCTGGCTTATTAGTCATCGTCAGCCAGTCATACCCAGCCCCGAGATGTGGAACATCTGGGAATCTAACTTGCGACCTGTTAGTTAGAAGTCCAACAGGTCACTAGTTCGAGCCCCAGGGTTGGGTATAACTGGCTGACGACGGCCAACAAGCCAGAAATGGCCATTCCAGTCTCCCTTGTCTTTGTCGGTAATAACATTCTGCTTGTATCATGCTCCGCTGTGCGGCTGCTGGTTGGGCTCGAGAGAGAGCCCGTAAAGCACAACAAGACGAGCGAGTTCCGTAAAAACGATTGGTAAGCGCACCTCTACCATGCATGTGTGTATTTTGAAGGTAAACACGTCCCTTGGACCTCGTGGCTCAGGTGGCTAGAGATTTGGTTGCACTTAAGCCTTCTTCTTGCTGTCGTGGTATGAAATCCCATTAGGGACGCGAGTTTTTCACAGTTGGGTCAAAATGAAAAAATAGATGGCTTTATTAAATGAGTTTTCGACGCTGGTTCCCCATGACTTGAGTAAATGTGCCGAAAATTAACATTTCAAAAGTGCTGAAAATCCACACTAATTTGGTGTTTGAGCCAATTAGCGACTGCCGGATGCCTCACTCTGTATTGATTGGCTTTCGTCTCTTCCACTTTTCCCTGGGATTTTTTTACATGACATCTAACTCAATGTGCCGAATGACGCGTGACTCATTGGAATGCCTGTTTTGAAGGGACAGTGCGAGTGTTGTCCCGTGCGAAGGTGTGCCCGGTATCAAGAATGCGCATGGCCATTTGAGACAGGTGGTCTCGCCTCATAACTGCCAGTTGATGTTCGTGAATACTTGAAAAGGCAGATTTTCCCCCTTGGCCACAATATACGGCAACACAGGCATCGAATAGATCTTATAGACGACTACTTTCTCGTCAAGATAGTCAACCCTATCCTTAGGATGTATACGCTAAGTGTGCTAAGTAGTCGTGGGCTTATGAGCCACTTTTATTTAGTGTTTCCTCAAGTGTCTTTCAACACGTTTAGACACATTCTTGATGTAAAGATGGAATCATCAAGTATTTACTTTGAGCACCTGACCGGAAATATCTAGTTTCCTTGTTTTTATCTCTTGCTGGTTCGCTTACCGAAGTAAGAAGTCTCTAGAGTAAAGGTTCTGGGAAAAAAATTCAAACGGACAATTTATATATGATCAGAAGAAGAAGCGATCGCTGGAACAATGGCTTTATTCGCCTGACGTTTCGGATTCTCTCTCGAATCCATCATCAGAGACAGTTGCAGAAAAGGGTGGCTAGTGTACAGGAAGTCGCAGTATTTATAGGATGCGGTCGCCATGCTACCGCATACCTACAGCAATTAACCGTGCTCCCTTCATCAAGGATTGTCGCCCGCTGGTGCGCTAATTGCTTGATGGCCGGCATGCAAGTTGTTAATTGCTGACATCTCATCACCCGTGTTGGATGCTGGCGTGATGATTGCTCGGCCATCTGGCTCACGTGCTTGCGCGCTCCTCGAGTGGTCAATTGCGTTGGCCAGTCTATGCCTCAGGACAGAATATGGAGTGGGGATGTCGTTGCACTTGTTGATAGACTGAGGTCCCGTGAACCATGACTCAAGCAACTCGCGGCTCACGCGATTATCCCCTCTCGCGAGAATTTCGGCCTCATCGAACTTGCATGTGTGGCCGGGTCTCGTCGAATGGGCCGCGACCTGACAGTTGGCGTCATTTCTCTGTACAGCTGCCACGTGTTCGGCGATTCGCGTCCGGAGAACTCTTCCAGTTTCTCCGACGTAGTTGCTTTGTCCGCAACTGCACCAGATCCGGTAAACGACTCCAGACGCCCTTCGAGAGGCCTCCACTTACGCGCAGATCCGGTTTCTGCACAGGTGTCTCGATAACAACGTGTTGCCGAAGTGTGTTTCATACAAACCTCCGGTAAACACGGAGCTAGCGAGACGCGCAGTATTTCAGCACGGAAGACGTATGATCCGCGTGCTCCTTCAAGATTGCCATGCGAGACTACGCAAATACCGTCAGAGAATTGACCAAGAAAAGGCCAGATGCTGCGAGTTCATGGGCGAGAATGGCACAAATCTGCTTCAGCAGAAAGTGACTGAACGAGCCCGCGAGCAGAGAGCGACACGCGATGCAGCACTGGGGAACAAATTCCACAAACTGCCTGATCCAACGTCATCCAGAGGCGGCACACTGGTACACAACCTGTCGTCAAAGGAACTGACGAAGGAGCAAGCACAGGTTTTACGGCACGAAGCCTCATTCAACACAGCTGACGCCAAACCTGTCAACATGATTGCAGCAGTGGAATCGGTCATTAATCAGACGGAAGCGACGGAGAAGACGAAGAACCTTATCCGACACCAAGTTACGTCCCTCCTTATGACTCACAAGCCGCGCGAAACACTCACAAAGGTCGAACGCGATGCACTAAGAGAACTCAAGGCCGACAAGGACATCGTCATTGTGCCCGTGGACAAGGGGCATTCCACCGTCGTACTGGACAGAACAGACTACCTTCAGAAGGCCAAAAACCTACTGGAGGATCGCCAGTTCGATGTCCCATGTGAAACCAACCCCATAAAAACGCTGATACGCGAAATAAATGCAACACTGTTGGCACTGGAGAACTCGGGTGCAATAACAGCGACCGACCGACGCATGGCGAGGGCCCAAGAAACGGTTTTGGCCCGATTCTATGGTCTCCCAAAGGTGCACAAGGAGGGCGCTCCTCTCCGGCCCATTGTTTCGCTCAAACGCACTCCAACGTACGGACTGGCAAGATGGCTGTTTCGGCGCCTCAAATTTCTGACCGCTGATTCGGACACCACGGTCTGTTCGTCAACGCAATTCCTGGAGAAGCTTAAAGGAGTAAGTCTCTTGCCCAATGAGGTCATGGTATCTTTTGATGCAACGTCCCTCTTTACTTCTATCCCCCAGGATCTGGCAATCGAGACCGTCCAACTACTCCTACGAAACAAATACGATGAAACGGAGAATCGTCTCGGACATGCCTAAGTCCTTCAGCTCCTACAGTTCTGTCTCAGGACGTACTTCACGTTTGACGGAACAATCTACAAGCAAGTGAAGGGAACACTAATGGGCTCGCCGATTTCGGGATTCATCGCCGAGGCTGTTCTACAGCGGTTGGAGTCGCTGGTCTTCCAACACCACAGACCGAAATTCTGGGCTCGGTATATGGACGATACCTTCGTCGTCATCGAACGTGATCAGGTGCTAACGTTCAAAGAACGTCTCAACAGCGTCTTCCCGGACATAGAATTCACGATGGAGGAGGAAGAGAATAACCAGCTGGCATTCCTTGATGTCCTCGTCTGTCGCAAAGATTGTGGTGGCCTAAAGACCAAAGTGTTCAGAAAAGCAACGAACACGACGCAAATTCTGAACTTCAACAGTAACCACCCAATCTGCCACAAACGCAGTTGCGTAAGAACGCTATTTCGGCGTGTTGAGACGCACTGCAGTGAACCGGAAGACAAGGTTGCCGAATCCCAATATCTTCGACGGGTTTTCCGAAAAAACGGTTACCCGCGCAACTTCTTCAACCAGTGCCTGCGCAAACGAGACGAGCGACAAAATCGCGCCGACCCCAAATTCTGGCGAGCGATCCCGTACATCAAGAACGTCTCCGAGGCCGTTAGCCGCCTTCTTGCACCACTTGGGGTTGGAGTTGCGCACAAACCGGAGGCCACCATGAGGCGTCAAGTGATGAGACCAAAAGACCCACTCCCACGGCAAGAAACATCTGGAGTCGTTTACCGGATCTGGTGCAGTTGCGGACAAAGCAACTACGTCGGAGAAACTGGAAGAGTTCTCCGGACGCGAATC